AGAGATTATAGGTTTTGTGTTTTTTTTTTTTATTATTATTATTTCAAAGTAAAAACTTAAAGATTTATCAGAATATGTTTATATATATATAGGTGGCACATTATCTTCAGACATAATCACAGTTTTTCAATTCATGACATCATCCTGAACATGCATGAAATATTTGCCACTGGAAATTAAGCAGCCAATAATCAATAAATCAATCAATTCATGACGAAATAGATCACCTTCCTTAAGAAAGTTTAAAAAATTATCACCAAGTTGCTTTAATTTCCCTTCACAAGGTTTCATAGTACACACTTTTTTGTGTACAAAGTAATTGCATGGATGATACATTAATCATAATTTTAAGATATCGTTGTACTCTAATCAAGGTATAAAGAACCATATGTATTACCCTTTATTTAAATGAAAGAAATTTGCAATTGTCAAAAACATTTTTTAGATCCAAAGATTTTATTAGCACATACTTACAACTTCTCGTCCAATCAAATTGCTTATATTTGCCTTCTAATTTTCATAGTACATACTTTTCCCGTGTACTAAGTAACTACGCATGAATGACCACAAGGGTAAGATTTCATTGTATCGTAATCAAGATATTTAAAACAAAAATTGCCACTGGCTATTTTGAAATAAAATGCTGTGTTCCAAATTAAATTAAATAGTTTGTAATTAGTTTTCACGTTGACTTTTAAATATCCTGCTATTAAAATCTTTGGATCTAAAAAATGTTTTTGACAATTGCAAATTTTATCATTTAAATAAAGGGTAATACATATGGTTCTTTATACCTTGATTAGAGTACAACGATATCTTAAAATTATGATAATGTATCATCCATGCAATTACTTTGTATACAAAAAAGTGTGTACTATGAAACCTTGTGAAGGAAAATTAAAGCAACTTGGTGATAATCTTTTAAACTTTCTTAAGGAAGGTGATCTGTTTCGTCATGAATTGATTGATTTATTGATTATTGGTTGCTTAATGTCCAGTGGCAAATATTTCATGCATGTTTAGGACGATGTCATGAATTGAAAAACTGTGATTATGTCTGAAGATAATGTGCCACCTATATATATATATATATATATATAAACATATTCTGATAAATCTTTTAGTTTTTACTTTGAAATAATAAAAAAAAAAAACACAAAACACAAAACCTATAATCTCTGATCTATTGGTAGTTACTTTAAAATGCCTATCTGCTAGACTATATCTACGGGGACAAACTATCTATATGTTTCAAATTTATTATAGCTTTAGTTTTACTGTGAAATTAAAAAATGTTTTCAAAACATGTAAAGCTTCCACTGCAATTTAATTATTGTCTGCTTTTGGTCAATTTCTTTTGTCATCTTACCATATAAGAAGAACATGTATAGTAAAACACCGATTTATATCAATATACATACTTACACCAGCAGCTACCATCTTTTCATTCTGGAGTGAAGGGTCTTTTGAAATCACATATTTTACAATGATACTAGTGAGTAGATTTACAAAACTTCGTTAATGAGCTGCGTTTTACAAACACCTGTGATACAAGTAGTCAGCCAAAATAAACTATCAATAGACCAATTAAAAGATTACTCGAGTTGTAAATATATGCTAAATTGGATAGTCTATGGAAAGGTATATACTATGAAATTAAGAGCTCGGGGCAAGCCCCTCGCTCTAAATTTCATAGTATATACCTTTCCATAGACTAACCTAGACATAGCAGGATATTTAAAAATCAACGTGAAAACTAATTACAAACTATTTAATTTAATTTGGAACACAGCATTTTATTTCAAAATAGCCAGTGGCAATTTTTGTTTTAAATATCTTGATTACGATACAATGAAATCTTACCATTGTGGTCATTCATGCGTAGTTACTTAGTACACAGGAAAAGTATGTACTATGAAAATTAGAAGGCAAATATAAGCAATTTGATTGGACGAGAAGTTGTAAGTATGTGCTAATTTGTGGAAAATTTGAATCACGTTATTGCTTACGTCTGCATGCGATTTGATAAAATAGGCAAAGATTGTATGAACTACTGGAACTAGATTGTAGGAACTACTGGAACTAGATTGTATGAACTACTGGAACTATGAATATCTTTGATGAGTGTTAGATGGAAGTAATGCGTCAACAATTTCTAAAAAAAAATGTTTTTTGTTGAAAATGCTAAATTTTAAAATTTGTTTCTTGTTTATTTAAGACTTTCGGTATTCATTTATACACGAGCACAGCAAATGTAAATACTTGAAAGAGTCCTATGATAAGTTAGATTCATCAAATGATTATAAGTGACATTTTTTTTTTTGTGGAAAATATATATATTTTGATAACTGTTTGTTGAATACACGATAATCAATACGAAATGAAGGACGACTTCAACAACTTTTTGCTAATTTTAATATATTGGACGAGTTCTAAGATGAAAAATTCATAAGATGTTTCGGAAACAATATTAGTAATAATAGTAATGATGTTGATCATATGATTTACTACTAAAAAAAATACTAAACATATTTGAGGTGGTGAGGTGGGGGAGGGGGTCTTATCCCGGATTTTCGAGAACATAAATGCCAAATCCCGAATTCCCGAGAAAATAATCAATCAATCCCGAAATTAAAAGTGGATGCTATTTAAAATCGTCACATATAACCATGACATTTAAAAAATTGCCGTGACAATAGAGAAAGAGTGAATGCGTTTCCAGTTTTCACTTTGATTTCTATGTACCTGTGCTATACCTTCTTGTGGTCTTTTTTATTTCTCTCGTAAAAACAAAACAACGTCTAAATCTTTATTTGGAGAAAAAAGAGTACACAGTGTTTACACTCCGGATCTACGCACTAGAGGCTGAACAAAATACTCAAAGTCAGAGTTACTAGTACATCAATGGATTGCGTATCAGTTAAAACTTGTACAAGCATAATAATTATACGGGAATAGAACAAATGAAAATGCGTTAATATTCAATAAAAGTTTATTACTTAAAATCTTTACTAAATTCTTCCATAGATACAAAGATTTGGTTTGCACCTGTAAAAAAACCTAATTCAGACGGAATAGCACATCCTAAATTTTACGGTAATGTTGTTTACCGAGCCCGGAAATTTATATTCGACCCGGGTAAACTTATCAATCCTTTAAATAAACTTATTTAACTAATTTTTTTGGTGTAACTGATATGTCAAATTGAATCTGTATGATATGTGTTTTACTTTTATTCAGCAAAACCTTGACAAAAAACAAGACTCTAAGACAGACATTGATGGTGAACACGATGAATTCTTCAATTTTATTGTTTCATATTTTTCATGTCGGGGCCTTTTATAGCCGACTATACGATATGGGTTTTTCTCATTGTTGAAGACCGTACGGTTGCCTATTATTGCTTGCATCCACTTCATTTGAACTTGGGTGGATAGTTGTCTCATTGTCAATCATACTACATCTCCTTATTTTTATATTAGTTTTTCTTTATTAATTAGTAATTGTCAAAGAGCCTTGTTGAAGCCCGTTGTGTCCTTCCTGATCTCAGTTGACACATTACGATTAACCATGAATTGAAATTCTGTTGAAGATCGTGTTCGCCGAGTCATCAAGACCGTTATGTCTTCCTTCCCGACATATATCCCTTTGGCTTTGGTAAAGAAGGGACCATGTCTAACGGTAGATTACACGCAGGGACCGTATGCTAAGACGACTGTGAAGTAAAATAATATGTTGCCCATGACATACTTTTTTTACACCTTTCATGAAGATTGTGCCGATATCTCGACATTGTACCGATATCTCGACAGTATTGTGGTTTTGTATGTAATTTTTGCTTTTTTAATTCGCAGAGAGATCATGGAAAAAGACGGCATACAACTACGTCATGTGCAAGTTATAGATCCAGATAACCCAATAAAAAATGGATCGGGTGAAGGTTACATGAATAATGCATTTGAAGGATCAGAGGTTTGTATTTAGTATCAGAATTAAGGATTATACTTAGTGCCAATGCCATGAGTTTTATAAGGCGACTCAAAGCGAAAAGTTTGGGAGCACGTAAAACAAAAGGGAATACGCTTAATCAAATGAAACCAAATATAACGAAAAGAATCTTATTTTGGTATCGATAGGCAGACAAAGCAGAAAGTTAGGTTTTACATAAGCTAATAAGAGAATCTAATTTACCATGTGAAATGAAATGCGCTATAAATTGAGGCCGTTGTGACCTATTTACCGATTTAGTTCATACTATTCCTATTGGTTAATTAAAATGACCACGTATAATACCTATTTTCTTTGGACACGAATAATCTTCATCGGGTACGTACAAGACGAAACGTTACAAAACCAAACATTAATGCATCAATCGGCCAGTAAGACCAAACAGTTCGGAAGCCAAATCATGATGCGTCTGCGGTAGGGCAGTAAGCTCAGATATCTTACACAAAACAGCCAAAACCTCATAATGTTGGATTATCCAGAAAATGGGCATTTTATGTATTATGCAGATGGTATGATTATTTATCAACAGCAATACTGACCTAGTGGTACTAAAATATGATACCAAATTCAGTGCAACTTATATAAGATTTTTTCTTGAAAAAACTTCATCAGCACACTCGATTAAAAACATATTAAAGAGCAAACAACGAAACTTTAGAACAGTCAAAACAATATAAGGTCAGCTTGAGAGAGTTTGTCATGCTTACTTTCGTTAGAACAACCAATCGTAAAACTGTCTAGGAGAAAACCAAAAATAATACGATAAACATATAGATCGGGTTCGCTGCGTGTATGTCGTAAAATATCACCCGCTCAACACAATGGGAAGCTGTTAGCTCCCGCTTTGCTCACTCTCCAAAAAGAGTCCACACTGTGGCTCGCTGCTGATATTTTACGATTTATATAGTAAACACCATAATCTATATATAATCATTTGGTGTAACTGATATATCAAATTGAATCTGTGTGATATGTGTTTTACTTTTATTCAGCAAAACCTTGACAAAAAACAAGTCTCTAATACAGACATTGATGGTGAACACGATGACGAAGAATTTGAAGGCAACGCTTGCTCAAATGCTGTGGGATTCATCCAGAAAATCATTACTGATTTTTACAAGGAACATATATTTATCGTATGGTATACAATATATTTGGTGCTATTGGTAGCATACTTTGGTTATTTTATATGGTGTATGTACCACCTCACCGTAAAAGATAAAATAACGGAGGAAGGATCTATCCGATTGATTGTCATTACTATATTACTGGTGATTGGTATATCACTAACAATACTGTCTAAATTTGTTAAGCTTGATTTCACCAGCTTCGAACAGGAATTTGAGACATTAATGGGACAATATGGCTTCATGTAAGTACAACACATTCTAAGGTTAGGTACATTAGAATTGTTGCAATTCTATAAAGTTTATGCTAACGTAACTGGCAAAAAAACAATCTGGTCCCGTCTGGATATATGTACATAAAACAGACAATAAAGTGTTTTAAATGCAAAAATATGTCACACATCAAACACTGTAGTCCAACACATTCTGCGACAAACTAATTTGTTTATTCTTTTTACTACATGAAAAAGTTAAATAAATAGTTTTATATAAAAAGTTATATTTTCCCATTCTCTTTTTTTTCACACATATATGCATAAATGATATACTTCGTATGAGAAATAACAAGATATCACAGCATGGAACGAACTCTGTAAAACATTTAAAGTGATTGGTCTGCTAAGATATGTACAACTATTCAACACTGTAAATACCAAAATGATACATTTGAAAAATACATCTGTGCTTTCATAGAAACTATAATGAAGTGGATAGCAGTTAATTTGATATTATTTAAACCTCAAATGTTAGTTATTGTTTTAGATCTGTTTGTTGTTTTGTTTTGCAGAATACACATATGTTTAATAATCGCCGCTATTGGTGGAAACATTGCTGTCATTGTCGTAGAAGTTATATTGAAGGAAGTAGACAATCTAATATCCCTCGTTGGAGTTTTTTGTTTTGTTGTTGTTTTCTACGTTACTTCACACAATCCAGCTCGGGTAAATACACATATTTTAGCTTAGGCAAAGTCATATTATCCAATTAACCTCGGGATATTCTTTCAAATGTTTTAAATCTCTGAATAAAACTGAAAGGCGACAATAGAATCCTTCAAATCTTTCAACAATAATTCTAACTTGTGAGTAGAATTCATTTTGTTTCATTATTCATGTAACAATGGTTACCATATGATTGTATTTTAAGTCAAAATTTCATTTTTAGAAACGCTTTATTTATGACACCTTTTCAACGTCAATGTTAATTACCCGACCATACGCGTATGGTCATGACCATATGTAAAGCAAAATATTGTCCTTTGAAATATTGTCCCCAAGACAATATTGCATGACTTTGTATCATGACATTTTGTCCCTTTATATCATATGAAATTTTGTCCATATACAAACAATATTTCATAGATGAACAGTATGCAATTTTGTCTTGTTAAAGGGAGGTTATCCAAGGTTATATATTGTGTATATTGAGACAATATTTCATAGATGGATTGTCATGAAATTTTGTCCAGAACGAGGTGACAAAATTTCACGGGGGACATTATTTTATGTTACACATACGCGTATGGTCCATATACTAATATGGTCCAGAACATTAATAACACACATCTGCCTGCAAGATCTCTTTAATATATATGCAAGTTTTTTCATTTGAATTGTTTCACATTTTTCATGTCGGGGCCTTTTATAGCTGACTTAACGGTGATTGGTTATTCTCATCGTTGAAGGCCGTACGGAGACCTATAATTGCTTACATCCGCGTCATTTGATGGATATTTGTCTCATTGACCAGCATACCATATCTCCTTATTTTTATATTCCAGGTGAACTGGCGTCCTGTTTTCTGGGGACTTGAAATACAGTTTTACTTTGCATTGGCAATAATCAAGTGGCCAGTTGGAAACGACATATTTCAGTGGTGCGGAGACCGTGTAACAGAGTTCCTTGCACATACAGACGCCGGCGCTGGTTTTGTCTTTGGTGAAGATACCTTTAGAAACCATTTTTTTGCAATGGCAGTAAGTTATAGATAAGGGATCATCATACATTTTTTTTAACTTAAGATCAGGAGGTCGTTAAAACTTTTGGTATCAGTTTTCGGAGTTTCGAAACCCTAGTAGCTTAGTAAGTACTACGGTATTGGCCTTAATCAAATAATTTCTATTTCTTAAATTATGTAATGTACCCAATTTGCCAGTTTCCTATACCATGATGATGAGGATGATGACGAGGAGGAGGAGGAGGACGACGACGACGACGATAATGTTGACGATGAATTTTCATTGAGGCCCTCCATCAAAATACATGTATACATTTTATATTCATACATGACGACAATTTTTTTATTGTGAATTGTAAATCATTCCAAACCTTGGTTGCAGCTGCATCTTCTTTCTTATCTTATTACCAAAGTTAAAGCGCGGTAATACTTGTTTAACACCGTTCCGTTATACTGCATCTTCTTTCTTATCTTATTACCAAAGTTAAAGCGCGGTAATACTTGTTTAACACCGTTCCGTTATACTGCATCTTCTTTCTTATCTTATTACCAAAGTTAAAGCGCGGTAATACTTGTTTAACACCGTTCCGTTATACTGCATCTTCTTTCTTATCTTATTACCAAAGTTAAAGCGCGGTAATACTTGTTTAACACCGTTCCGTTATACTGCATCTTCTTTCTTATCTTATTACCAAAGTTAAAGCGCGGTAATACTTGTTTAACACCGTTCCGTTATACTGCATCTTCTTTCTTATCTTATTACCAAAGTTAAAGCGCGGTAATACTTGTTTAACACCGTTCCGTTATACTGCATCTTCTTTCTTATCTTATTACCAAAGTTAAAGCGCGGTAATACTTTTTTAACACCGTTCCGTTATACTGCATCGAATGTTTTTTTTCTTTAATTGATACTCATTTCGCATAACAAATTTTTTTTTAATTATGTGGGTAGATTTAGTATGTAACAGCTTTAAGCTTATTGTCAAAGTTTAAAAACAATCAATTTTGTTCGTTGGATATATATAGCTTTCTGGTGAACAAGAGGAACTTAATATTTTGCCCGCAGGTACCCAGTTCGCATTAAATAAAATTTACTCTTCAGTAAAAGGTTCGAATATGCTGATGTCTGCAAAGTTCTGACTATAAATTTTCAACGTTATATCCTTTTAGCGAAAATGAGGTTCATATAAATAGAATATATACTATAATTCTAAAGATTTGTGCAACAATACCAAAAAAGTTATGTAAGAAAAGAATGATATCATATTGTTTGAAAATAAAATATTTGTCAATCAATACAATGTACCCTTTTTTTTTTTTTACTGGTTGGTTTTTTCTTAAGATTCACGTATTTTTAATATTTTATTTATAGAATATAGATCACAAAAATGGAAAGGGTTTGTAAAATTGTTCATGTGTTGTGTGAATTGTTTTAATCTTACTTGCTATGCATTGGTGTTGTTATAACGTTTCTAAAGAAAATCCTAGATAACACTCCTAACAGGTTTCATAGAGTCACATACTAATACTGGTTCTCTGTAACAATTTAAACTCTTATATAGGGAGTGTGGCACGCATGGTCATGGATTTTCTTCAAACTTCACACACTTACTAGTCTTGATGAAACAAACAAAAAATGGAAAAATTTTGGTTGCTAAGCATATCGGTTGCCATAGCAACCGATGACCAGTTTTACCTCTTCTGAATATCTATGATTTTAAGCTGAAAAAGGCTATTTTCAACATAATTTTTCATAATAAATAATTAAGAGAATGAATATTGTTTTATGATTTCATTAAATATATGCATTTTATTAATGTAATTTAATAACTGATATTTTCATATTCCATTTCAATCATAATCACATATACCCCCCTTTTTATGTGGTTTGCATTAGGTAAAACATACCCTTTTGAGGTCATTTTTGAATGCTCACCATAATTGTTTGCGGACACCTGAGTTAAAGTCAACCATGAATTCATTAATATCGTAGTCTTATCTTATCAATGATGCGAAAAAGTAATGGGGAAGTATGTCTCAATATTTTGTTACCATGGATACAAAATGCTTAGTTTTCATTTTTTCAGAAAAATTTTTTTTTGAAAATTTTGATAAAAAAAAATGTTTTAAAACATAATTCTGCAGTCAGAAAAAAAAAATAAATATACAATATGCAGAAATTATTGTAATCATCAAAAATTTCAACATATTCATATATAACGGTATTATAGTTTTAACTCTGTTGCTATGGAAACAATTTCATTTTGATACACAAGTTTAAAACAATTTTGAAAAAAGTTTCAGTTAGTTTGCACAAAATTATGAAAACTAAAACACTTATTAAGTTTCACTGTATACACACATATGTATATATAAATGATTTTGCTAGTATAGTATTTCGATAATGGTGTTACCACTTAAAGGAAACAAACACAATTACTCTATTCTGGATATAAGTGCTGATTATAAAGAAATTTCAGTCTGTTTTCATGATCATGAAAAATATACAAGAAAAACAATTACTCAATCTAGAAAAAAACAAATAAAATCATTTAAAAAATTACATATTCAATTGTACAATATTTGCCATTGAATGTGTTGTCATGGAAACAAGTAGATCATTTGCAAAAATACGGATAAGTACTATTTTTTACAAATGCGTTTTAATGAACTTCGATACATATAACAATGAATGTATACACTTTTGCTTACATAAGCAGGTTTTCTTGTATTTGAGAAATATTAAAAATATTCTAGGCATTATTAGTGATAGTGTTGCCATAGAAACAACAAATTACATGTATATGCATAAACTTGAAAAACGCTTGAAAATAGACTAAATCTCTCATACAAAAACTCTCTTCTGTAAGTTTTCAATTTAATGCAGTGTCAAAGAATGATGGCTTTTACAAGTCAGTCCATCAACTAGTATTCAAATGCTGTAGTGAAGATTAAAGATCAAAGTGCCACTTGGTGTTGACAGTTTGGAATTTTAGCTACTAGCTCCTAACTATTTATACATAAGATTAAGAAGATACAATCAGAACATTGACAGTTCAAGAAAGGCCAAGCTTAAAATTGTTTGTGTGAGGCACAGAAATAAATACTTATCACAAATGAAAATAATCAATATCGTTGGGGGGGCGGGGGGTAAGATTTTGTAAAAATGAAATGATCGATTAGTTATGGTTTGCTTTGTGTCCAGTGTCAAATATCTCATGCATATTTCAGAAGAGAACAAAATCAATAAATTTAAAAGGAATATTGTTGGTCCAGTGCTAGTTTACTGATCCAAAATTAATTAAAAGCAATAATTTGATACTCTTCAACACAATAATAATTTAGAACAAAAAGAGTCAGACGTTGGTCCTCTAAGTAAATGATAATTGACAATCTAAATTTTCTATAAAGGAAAAAATACATATATTATGAGCTGTTTATTTTTCTTATTCATTATTAAACTCAATGTTGAAATGGCAAAGCATGTATAGCTATACGTTTTGAATATTATTGTATTATTGGATGATGAGTATCTACATGAAGATCATTTTTGAGGTAAAGTTGAAAAAAATAGACAATTTCAAAAAGGTCCGGCAATATGGGTAGGCTGGGATGAAGGCGGACAATTTGAAATATCACTGGAAATGGGGATCAATTGGACAAGGACAGAAATTTCAATAGGTCAACTTGGGTGCCCCTAAAAGAATTAACACAAGGGTTCTTTAGCAAACAAAGGGCGTAACCAACAAGGGCGGGTACTGTCGGCCATTGACCCGATGGTCCCTGCTATCCATCCGACACATTTCTTGTTTGCCTATCTGGCCGGGGAGGAATTTTCGAGATTTTCCAAAAAGATTTCGTTTCCCTACGAGGAAACGCGGAAAATCTGTCAGATGGTGGCTGTGGGTCTTAAAACGAGCAGTGGGGGGAAATATACCATCTGGACAATTTTCATATAAGGGGACCCACTGAATGCCTCAAGTGATGGCCCGCTACATTTATGATTCAGTGATTCCATATGAAATCAACCAAATATTTCAAATAAATAAGGAGGGGACGGGCCCTCGGGGCCCCTGGATCTGCCTATGGTAGCACTATCTTAACATTGGTATTAGGCATTGGATTATTGAAAATAACAATTATCTTTATGGATTTTTAGCAGCAAATTAAAAAATATTTACCATAAATTATGATAACTCTTTACCGTGATAGGGCAACTTTAAAAGAATTATATACATGTACATATAACTTGATTTTCACTGAACATGCTGAAAGCCCATTACAGAAAGATGTTTCTCAAAATTAGTATATTGTCTTTCTTTTAACAAAAAAAAAAAATAATTAGATTTTACTTTTAAACAGGACTCAATGTTTATAACATATAATACATGTGACTTTTTGTCCTTGACTTTTTGTCTGTGACTTTCTGTCCTATATTTTGACCATTATCATGACCAAGAAAAATGACTTTATACCTATTTATATGTAATAGGCTTTGCATCAAATTTATAGAAACACTTAGATTGAACCATTAATTTTATCAAATAAGAAAATATAAAATGCTTTTCAAACATATTAGCAAACGATAAATGTATTGACTTTCGAGAAAATTTGGCATACCTCAAGTTAAGTCGTTGAATATGTTTACTTATATTTTATTAAAATATTTTAAACTACCAAGATATCGTGCATGCAGGGGCTCGGGCATAACTCAAGTAGTCCTCGAAATGTTTATTTTTTTTTATAAAAATATTTAAAACTACCAAGATATCCTACACAAGGCTCGGGCATGCCTTAAGTTGTTCGTGGAAATAATTATTTACTGTTATAAAAATATTAAAAAACAATTATATTGGATTTATCAACTTGCATGTATTTTTGGCCTACTTCACACCTTTTGTGTGTTACTTTATATTTGTGATCCAACGTGTCAAATTATAACCGGTAATATAGAACATAATTTACAACACAGTAAAATACAATATACTACTCTATACCATAAAAAGTTTAAATAACCCGGTGCCCGTCACAGTACCCTTAACTGTTTTTCCCAGTTTTTTTTATTATTTGATGAAGACTTTACCATTCAATCTTAATGGTTTTTTTTATATAAATTTTAAGCAAATCCTATATTATATAAATAAGTATTAGGTAGTACAACGATCAGGACACAGTCAACATTGGTCAGGTCAAGTTTTTTTTTACCCAAAAACATATATTTTCCCCCCTTTTTTAATGATATAAAATAACACAGAAATTTTCATCGGTTAGGTCATTGCTGTTGTTGGTCATTGTCAACGTTAGAAGGGTCATGTTTTCGGAATTTTTCGGAATTTTTTAATATTTTTTTTCTATATTTTTTCATAAAGTTATATATTAAATGATCAAATGTTATTATATTTCAAATTTAACATAAATCTTTTAAGAAATAAAAAAGTAATGAGCATTTTCATTTGGTCCTGTCATTGTCAGCGTTGGTCAGGTCACTTTTTATGAAGATTTAAAAGTTTTCTATATTTTTTCTTATATTTATGTATTAAATGGACTAAATTTATAGCAATTCAAATATGACAAAATTTTTAAGAAATATAAAAGTAATTAGCATTTTCGTTTTGGTCCAGTCATTAGTGTAACCCGTCAAAGGGAGATAATTCGTATTGTGAGGAATATTGCACAATGACCATTTTTTAGAAATTAATTTCAGATGTTTCTAGGTAGATTCCCCATAACTTTTTTTGATTTTTGATAAAAACAAGGCTGAAATTAATTGTTTTTGTGTTTCTTTTTAATAGATGTAGCCGCATAATTTCACAACACTACACCAAATATTGTATTTTTCTCAAAATTCTCAACTTTCTCCACTGTTACCATGGTAACCAACCAATATATATTTCGGTTGGCATTATTTTTCTGACTAAGCTAATAGGATATACATATCAACCAATTTTCAGAAAGATCGGTGACTATGTGTGCCGAAAAATTTTAAGTGGTTACAGCCGGAGAATGAGTACTAAATCTTAATTTAAATCAGCAGTATTTGTGAGGAGCCAGTAACTTTTTATAATTGTCAGACAACATGGTCAGACCATCGGAAGACAGATTTATAATCGTCAGACCATCGAAAGACAGATTTATAATGGTCAGACCATCGGAAGACAGAATCATTTTAGCTGCATAAATGTTGAAAATATAAGAAATTTCCCATGTTTAGATATATAATTTTTAAGTGTTTAGTTCTATTAACAACATTACAATACAAGCATGATGAAAAATACTACTACATTTTTTTTTATGAGAAACATTACATTAACAGGTAAAGTTATCAACAGTAGGTTGATTGATTGTTTTTTTTTTGTGTTTTGCATGAAATGTCTTGTCATAGTTTTTTAATAACTTGGTGTGATTTTATTTAACACCGCCAAATTTAGACTCTAACTACTGTGTTTATTCTTTAGGTGTACTTGAATTTTTGATATGTTACAGGCATTTTCTAAATTTAGGCATTGTGTAAAATGCCTGCAAGATTCAGGCATTTTATATATTGACTGATTTTTTCAGTCATTTTACAAAATGACTGGAAAAATTGAAAGGTATTTTACAAAACGCCTGAACACACACTGAGCCATTGAAAGTATTGAACAACAGAGCAGTTTTACTTATGATAATTAATGAATTTTAACGCTTGCATTTTAAGAGTTTTAATTATAAAAAAATAAATTTTATACTAAATTGTTTAAAATTCACATAAGCACAGAACTCGATAATTGTTTACAACTGGACACGGCCTTGTATGGTGAAACCCATGCTATAGATGGGAATCAGTTTGGTTGTGCAGGATGTATAAATTGCATTTTTTCTATTAATGGGGACTTTAATCTAATGCCTTGTGTAAGAAGAGTGCCGAGCTCTGCACGTTGAGAACTCTTTAATATTTTACCGATAAATGGACTTCAATTTCTTTGTCAAACCTTCATTGAATTTTATGAAACTTTGGCTGAAGCTTTTTTTTTATGATTAAAAGATAATGTCATAAGCAAACTTTTGAAAATTTTATTTTCATTTTCAGTATTTTTCTTATAGATGGATTTAGCTTTTAGATTCAGTCTAGAGTTAAAGTTTTTCAGTCAAATATAACTGTATCAAATTTTCATGGAATTTTATGAAATTTGGACAGAAGTTTGTTTATGACCAAAAGACAGTATCTGGAGCAAAATTTTGAAAATAATTATTTTCATTTTTCCGTATTTTATTGATAAAAGGACTTCAATTTCTTTGTCAAACCTCCATAGAATTTTATTTAACTTTGGCAGAAGCTTTTTAAGAGATAATGTCTGAAGCAAACTTTCGAAAATATTTTTGTTTTTCAATTTCAGTATTTTTCTGATAGATGTACTTAGTTTTTTACATTTAACATTTACAGAAAGTCTGGGATTAAATTTTTTGACATGATAAATTTGTATCCCTTCATAGATTGTTATGAAACTTGGACAAAAGATAATCTTCAAGATAAAAAAAATAGCATCTTAAGAAAAAGTTTGATTTTTTTTAATTCTGTATTTTACTGATAAATGGACTAACTTTTCACAGTCAACTTTACACTTTTACACACTGACAACAGCAATCACAGGCATGACACAGGGTTCCATAGAACCTTTAAGAATTTGTCTACAAATTGCCTGAAACTTAACAGGCAATTTGCTGAATTTTGCTTCAAATTTTCAGTTGTTTTACAAAATGATTAGGTATTTTTAGTCATTTTATATAATGCCTGTCAAGGTTAGGCATTTTATAAATTGCCTGAAAATTCAGTCATTTTACAAAATGCCAAAATTTAGAAAATGTCTGTAACAGATACACCACAGATGATCACCCTGTCATCTAGTTCCAATATAAAAAAGAATATGTAGCAAAAATTGAGACTTATTCATTAGAAACCAAACAATAAAGATGTTACCAATTATAGGTCACCGTACGGCCTTCAACAATGAGAAAAACCCATACCGTAAAGTAAGCTTTCAAAGGCCCATCCATGACAACATGTAAAACAATTCACACTAGAAAACCAACGCCCTTTATGTACAAAACAATAGAAGATAAACAGATATGATAGACAGCAACCAACGACAACTACTGAATTACAGATTCCTGACTGCGGACAGGCATATATAGAATGTGGCGGGGCTAAACGTTTTTGTGAGCGCTCGACCCTTCCATAACCATGGGCTTCATTCATGCGATTTTAAATGTTATCGCTCCCTTGTAAGTATTTTATGGATAACTTAACTTCAGCATCTTATCATTGACTGATGTGGAAACCTTGTTAGATGTTGCACACAAAATATGTATTTAAATAGGCTAATTAATATATTATCTTTACGATCTACAATCAATTTGCGTGTTTTGAGAAAAATAAGATTTGTGAAAACGGTTTTCTCGAGCCGGCTTTTTAAATAATGTTATGTTTATATCTGCAATGATTTTTACAATCCCTCTGCACAGCTGACAGGCGCATTTAAGTCAAGGACTTGTAATGTCAAGTTATACAATAAGAGTGCTGTCATTTATTGCAGGTGCTTCCAGTAATTGTGTTTTTTAGTACTGCCATTGCTATTCTATACTACTTGGGAGTTATGCAATTCATCATCAAGTACATCGCACGTGCTCTCGCATTTGCACTTGGAACATCTCCAGCTGAATCCTTAAATGCTGCAGGAAACATTTTTATAGGTCAGGTATGTGTTGTGGTATTTAATTTAATATTTACCTACTGAATAATGTATTTGAGTTGTTATACGTACTCCACAATTTGTTTGTAGTCCGGAGTCCATGTATCGTGTACCGATCCCTTCATCCAGAGCTCGGAGGCTGGAAACCTATCTTTATCGAAAGTGCCTGAAGTCCAAAAACCATTACCAAAAAGAGCCCGTAGCAAATATTTGGGAGCCTGGAATAAAACTAGAATGGAGCCGGAGCGAGAGCAGGTGTTATCCTCCCCCATGAATTACATTAGGGCAAAGTCAACATCACAACTAAAATAAACGGGGAAAACTTCAATGAGACAAGTTGACAACTTTATCGATTAATCAAACGTTGCATATTCGTAACAAAAGGAAAACGATAATTACATATAGATTCTTACATTGGTACCAGTGGATTATCGAATTTATCCAATCGAGATAGTTAAATTCATAATTTTACTATCGAGATTGGACAAATCCGATAATCCACGAGTAACTATGTAGGAATCTGTTTCTCTAATGATTATCAAATAAATTTTCATTTTTGATAAACGAATTTCCCCTTCGAGTACTTTCCATATTCCACAAAGTTGTCAATTTCTCTTACACCAGCACATTTCGATTCATCCGATGGGCTGATAAGGGTTATGACCCCTAAACTCAGCCAATCATCTTCTGAGATCATCGGCAGCCACACGTTGATTAATTTTTTTTTATACAATGGGTCCTGAAAGGGTTAGATTGCCAAAGAATTAGAGAAATATAGATTCTTACATTGATACCAGTGGATTATCGGATTTATCCAATCGAGATAGTTAAATTATCAATTTTAAAATCCGAGCCTCGGCGAGGACTTTAAAATTTATAATTTAACCATCGAGATTGGATAAATCCGATAATCCACGAGCAATTTCTCTAATTCTTTGACAATTTTGTGAAATTTCTCTAATTCTGTTTCTCTAATGACTAAAAAATTAATTTTCATTTTTTATTTAACAAAAATCCCCTTCGAGTGCCTTCCAAATTTCACAAAGTTGTCAATTTCATTAACACCTGTTAGCATATTTTGATTCATTCAGTTAGCTGATTAAGGTTATGACCTTTAAACTCGTCCAATCATCTTCTGAGATCACCGGCAACCACACGTGGATTAAATTTTTTTATACAATGAGTGCAGAAAGGTATAAATTGTCAAAGAATTAGAGAAATATATATATACAAACAATATAATACAATAATGGGTATGGCGAAAGGAATACATTAGATAACAGTCAATAAACAATGATATATTTTATAATTTATTAAATTTTAACATTACAGCCTTTAATTTTGAGATATTATTATTGCTTTAGAATTTTGATATCGGATATAGTACACTTAGCTTGAATTTACTCATGGAAAAAATAATATAATACTTTTTATAAATTTTATGCGTCCGACGCGCTTTTCTTGATTTATCTTCATTTCGAATCCAAATACGTGAAGCCAATGATGTATAAGAACCGAAACATGTGACGAGTTATATGACCAAAAGGACCCTAGAATAAGAGAAAGAATCATCTTATTCTAAAACTTGGTCAAAATGTCTAAAAGTTGGTTGATGTTTAGATTTTCTTCTACAAAAATAAAATTGATTGAATTCCCTTTCATCTTCCATTTCGTATAATAGGTTCCAATATTATCAAAAGCGAATAATGGTGTCATCGACAGAAAGCAATGCAAATATTTTGACAAAAATATGAAGTATGTCAAAACATAGACTTTCAAGTTTTTTCGTAACTATTAAAATCATTTTGAATAAAGAAATCTTCTGGGTAATTTAAACAACATTTAAAATTTAAACAACATTCAAACATCATTTAAACAACATTTAAACAACACAGTTCAACTAATAATAATTATTTCAACATTGTCAATTAAGTTAAGAGCACCTTGCTTGATGAGGACAACAACGTAAAATTTTACATTTAGCAATATTCGTATTCAGATATATACTATATAAGTTGTTTGTTGCTAGTTGATTAGGGATTTTTTACTTTGTAGAGTGAAGCTCCACTGATGATTAGACCATTCTTGGCAAAGTTGACGAATTCTGAAATCCATGCAATTATGACAGGCGGATTTGCAACCATAGCCGGAAGTGTCATGGCTGCCTATGTTTTAATGGGGGTAATTATATAAAGGAAATAGTATCATTATAACTTCATATTTTGTATGTCACTATGATAAATGGAACTAATTTGATACAAATATTGTGCAATTGTTATATAAGTATACTCTTTTAATTTTAAAGTTTCAATTTAGCCCGAGTAATTTGTAACTCAAGTTAAGCACAATCACATAATCTTATGGACTGGAAATGAACAAAAACACTTTCGAATTCAATCATATCAATACCAAAGTGATTGGCAGGCAGTGATAGTCCACCCGTAGCAGCAGTAGACAAAAGAAAAAAATCAAATCCGTGCGCCAATCACGTGTTCTCGAATATTCTTCACTATGTACGCTCCTGACCAAAAACGTGTAAAGCCAAATATATAAAATGTTTGATAGCATAAAAACTTAACAGGCAAAAGGGAACAGTCAACACCGTCAAAAGACAATGGAAGGTACCAAGGGAACATTAAAACCTGATAACGACATGGCAGTCGCGTCCACTAACCTCTACATAGCAACCAAAGGTTTAGCAACACAAACCCCACCAAAACCGGGGGTTAACTCAGATCCTCCGAAAGGATAAGAAGTTCCAGCTCCACATTTGGCACGCGTCGTGTTGCTCATGCAAGCACAACTCGATGGTAAGTCTCATTCGGTGATGTCAAAATCGAGAAAAAGTGTCAAATCTGTCAATTTTGTAATTTAAATTATAGCACAATCAAAGAATTTCAAACTGGAAATTGCAAATTTTGAAGGTTCAACTTACAAATGGAAACTTTATAGATTTGTTGTATTCGAAGCGCTTTTCTGATTTACCTTCGTCAGTCACGCTTAAACCCAAAAATGTATATTATCGATAATTGATATGAACGTTCAGTTACTTATAACAATCCAACAGTTTTATATGTTTTAAAACATTCAAAAATTAAAACAATTTAAAAAAACATATGACAGACTTATTGCATGTGATCATCTGGAGGATTAAATTTGATAAGACAATAGTTTCTTTATTTTTGAATGAATTCAAAAGGCCAAAATAGTGTCTTTTAAATTTTTTCTCCTTTGTTGATTTTGTGAAACTTGGATTTTGCAAAATAAAATGGAGGACATAGAACTTATATTTTGCTTTTGTTGCAGGTATATTACACATTTTATCAGCGTCGTTAATGTCAATGGTTGGTTTTTTTATGTAAAGTATTATGTAGTATATCTTTTATTAAACTCAATAATTATGAGCTAGGCCCAAATATCCGTAATCAGCCTACTGTAATTAAGTACGTTGTTGATCTAAATGTCTGATAAACATCTGTAAAAATGTGGTTCAGTTTTTGATTGACAGGTGGTTCCTTTAGAAATATTTGTTATCTGTCTCTATTTATAGGTTCCTGCCAAACATCTTTTATCGGCATCTGTAATGTCCGCTCCTGCAGCATTAGCCATGGCTAAACTATCTTACCCAGAAACTAAAGTGTCCAAGGCTCATAATAAAGATGTATATAAAATCGAAAGTGGGTAAGTATAATAAGTCTCTAAATAGAAAATATTTTCTAAATGACTATGACCCAATCTAGACATTTATTAACTCTGAATGGTAATCAATTCAGCATTTACTGGGAAATACATTTTGTCCTTTGATGGTCGTTTTGATCTAGCCCGAACTGATAAGTCCGAAATAGTAATCGCAAGATAACTTTAGATTTTCATTTTATTTTACAGGGAAATGAATTTAGACATTTCCAAGCAGTTTACCTGCAGTCAACCAAGATTAGTTATGCATATTTCTTTAGTAATTTAACAGATTATTGCAAGCCAAATGTCTGGTTACTTCTAAATTTACTCTTCTCCTCTTCAAGCCGACTGACTTGTTCCTTTACTCTTCTGAGGTATAATTAATACGGGAGATTCTCGACCAACATAGAAAGAATCTGACATTAACATTTGATATTATATTCCACAGCTTGAGTTTTCTATCATAATTTACTTGAGAGGGTTGCTTCTTTCAAGGAAGCTATTTAATCAAGGCTTCCAAATTGTAAAGTTGATGTCATCCTTTCAAATCTTTTACAGACTCCCTTATGAGTTGATTAACTTTTATAGAACATCTATGTCACCGATTTTCACTAACCAAATCCCGTTCTTTATTTTCTCATTTGTTACATCACCGAATTCGACCACACATAGATGGTTTAAACCAGATTAGGTACAAGGTTTTATATTTTCAAAGCTTTCAATGATCTTTAAAGTCGTAATTGATTTAGCTTTTCAAATTGTTTTGAATCCGAGCGTAAAGTATGAGTCTTACGGAGTAAATGTGGGTCTGTTGTTTTAGATTATAAGTCTGATATCTTCAATGTGTTTTAACAACAATTGGTTTAATGTCAATGTTAGGCGACGTTTCGTTTCATGTCGATTAAATGCTCAATAGAGTTTATGTTTAATCCTTGTTTGTATATTATGCCGACTCTAAACAAAGCTTATTTACTATTATTCATTATTGTTCCCCGAAGCTATCACAAGCAATGTAGTCAGTGCACCAGTGCTGACATGAAATATAAGTTATAAAGTAATTTTCTGTAAATCACAGAAAATAAAACGTTTTAAGTCATTCAAAACTGTAAGGTATTTCTGCTCCTGCATAGATGGCCTTAGCTAAATTTAGCACAATCTTAACCATTTTGATTGTTCAATGTTTTTTTTCTTCGTCATTGGGTTGCACTTCTAATTGTTTTGAATCGAGTGCCACTTAAGAGTTTTATGTAGACGAAACGCGCGTCTGGCGTTTTAAACTATAAACTTTATGTCTTTAAAGAGATTTTACAACAACTGGAACGATGCCACTGTTGGAAGGGCTTATATTGCTTTTGCCTTAGTTTTCAGTGTTTTATGTTGTGCCAATTCATGTTCAATGTCTATGTTGTTTCTTCCTACAACAGTTTTGTTTGTCCTTTGCTCTGGTAAATTAAGTAGTGTACCGATGTTAAAATTTGTATAAACGTATGCTATCAAAATGAAGAAATGAATACATTGCAAAAAAAATAGGGATAGTCTCTTTGTTATATAAAAAGGCAACCCTCTTCTTTTGGACAACTACAGACCAATTACCTTACTTAATGTTGACACAAAACTTATGGCATTTTCTTTAGCATTACGTCTTAAGCAATACTAGCTAAAATCATCCACAGTGAGCAAAATGGTCACATGAAAAATTAGGTATATAGGTTTCAATAACCGTCAGATTCAAGACATAAAAAACCATGCAGAAAATTTTAATTTTGAAGGAGCATTGCTCTTCATAGATTTTTCAAAGTCTTTGACTCTTTGGAATGGCCATTTATGTATGAAGCGCTAACGAAATTTGGACTTCCATATCCTTTTAAAAAATGGTCAAAACTCTGTATAAAGATATTAAAGGTTTTCTGTTGAACAATGGGTGGGTCTCATCATCCTACCACATTAAGCGCAGTATCAGACAAGGCTGCCCGTTAAGTTACCAGATTTTTGTTATAGCTGTAGAAATTTTGTCCTGCAGAATAAGACAAGATTCCAACATCAAAGGTTTTCAAATTAAGCTTGATACCAAAACTCATAGTTTAAATATCCCACAGTTAGCCGACTGATATCTTAAGATGACAGATATAGACTATTATATAACTGCACTGCAAATAGCGTGGGTCAAAAGACTAACAGCAGATAATTTTGCTAACTGGAAAGTGATTCCGACATTTTACTTTAATAAATTTGGTGCTGATTTCAACGTTACTTTACATGAATCCGGACAATATTTACTCCATTCAAAACCTACGTAAAACTTTACAAAAATTCTACTTAGAAATTGTAAAGTCCTGGTTCAAAGTACGAAATTTAAATAATGTCAAATTTGCTTTGAATTTTTAAAACATAAGACAACAAATCTTAGGGGGAGACAAAATGATAAAGTTTCAAGGAAAATGTTTGTTTTTTTTATAAAATGGATTAAAACGTTATATATATATAAATGATATTATTGACCAGAATGGTAACATTTCTCAAGGTATAATATCTAATAAAGTACCATCAAAATCCAATCTAATGATTGAAATTTTAAAACTAAAATATGCTATACTAAATGAATGATTAAAGGTACTTAAATCAGATAAATGAATAAAATCAAAAGTAAGAAATAAACTTAAATTATGCATTAAGACAAAGGAAAAAAATAAGATAACATGTTTACAAGTAATGGAAACAAAACAGATATATACACACGTTAATAATACTAGAAATGAAGACATGCCTCCAGGTTTCTTAAAATGGAAAAGTGTACTAAATTTAGATTCTTTAATCCAAATTAAATCAATGCTCAAATTTGTATTTATTTATTTAAAAGATAACGGATTAAAGATATTTAAATGGAAATTGTTGCACCATATCCTTCCTTGTAAACAACTGCCTTTTCAATGGAAGATAAAAGAAGACAGTAAATGTGACATGTGTAATCAAACAAAAGATTATAAACATTTTTTTCTGGAATGTCAATACTTTAAAGTCTTTTGGGAAAAGTCAAAACATTGTTAAATAAAGTTAAAATTGGTCACCATATCCTAACATTCAGAAATCTCATAGTAGGTTGTAAAATCTGGGACAGCAGTTATTACGATATAAATCTTTTAATAACAATCATTACATTTTCCATCCACAAGTGCACTCACATTTCAAATTTTAAACTACAAATATTGATGTATATGCCATGTTCAAAAAAGATTTTTTATACTATTTAAATATTTCGATACAAACAGGTGGTAAACATGGTAAAATTTTGAAAGAAATAAGCCTGTATATATAATTATTGTTTTTATGCATATATATTATATGTTACATTTGTACAGCAAATATATGTGGGTTCATTTACTATGGCTTATCCTTAATTGATCTTTCGACCAAGTGTTGTGGACTTCGTCATGATCATGTTCGATGATAAAATATTAAATAAAATTGAAAATGGAAATGGGGAATGTGTCAAAGAGGCAACAACCCGACCATAGAACGGACAACAGCAGCAGGTCACCAACAGGTCTTCAATGCAGCGAGAAATTCCCGCACCCGGAGGCGTCCTTCAGCTGGCCCCTAAACAAATATAAATACTAGTTCAGTGATAATGAACGCTATACTAAACTCCAAATTGTACACAAGAAACTAAAATTAAAAATAATACAAGACTAACAAAGGCTAGAGGCTCCTGACTTGGGACAGGCGCAAAAATGCGGCGGGGTTAATGTTTATGAGATCTCAACCCTCCCCCTATACCTCTAGCCAATGTAGAAAAGTAAACGCATAACAATACGCACATTAAAATTCAGTTCAAGAGAAACCCCAACTTATCTAAACAGCTACTTTCCTTTAATCACATAATTAAAATTAACAAAAATCATGTAAATACTTCATTTCACAACTACGTACATATACTTACAATGAAAATAGCTTTGTCAAATTGTTGATCTACAGGGTCATGACCAGGTCAACTAACATATACAAAGTGAAATCGGTGCATGAATGTCATTTTTCCAGGAAATAAATTCTGTAGTAATCTGTTGTAGACATTGAATGTAAATCTAACAATTGATTATTATTTACTGAACAATCTCCTTGTTTGTTCATCAAAACAAACCTTACAGGGATACCCTGTCAAATGATGTGGACATGGTATTTTTATAACAGCATATAGTGCAATAAACTTGATTTTAGAATTTAAAAAAAAATCGGTATAAATCTACTATAAATCTTAACGAAGTCAAATCAATGTAACAAAGAAACCCTTACGTGATCGCATGAACACCAAAAGGAACGAGACCGGTTGTGTCGACAGTGCAAGCGTATCAATGTAACAAAGAAACCCTTACGTGATCGCATGAGCTCCAAAAGGAACGAGACCGGTTGTGTCGACAGTGCAAGCGTATCAATGTAACAAAGAAACCCTTACGTGATCGCATGAGCTCCAAAAGGAACGAGACCGGTTGTGTCGACAGTGCAAGCGTATCAATGTAACAAAGAAACCCTTACGTGATCGCATGAGCTCCAAAAGGAACGAGACCGGTTGTGTCGACAGTGCAAGCGTATCAATGTAACAAAGAAACCCTTACGTGATCGCATGAGCTCCAAAAGGAACGAGACCGGTTGTGTCGACAGTGCAAGCGTATCAATGTAACAAAGAAACCCTTACGTGATCGCATGAGCTCCAAAAGGAACGAGACCGGTTGTGTCGACAGTACAAGCGTATCCTGCTGTGTATGCATCACCTGCTATGCGAGTTCTCACTCTGTAAACACTGGTTCATTAAAAAAACTTTCACAACCGGTCAAATGTTAGAGGTAAGGAATAAATATGTACTGATGGATTTAAATTTTTTTAGGGTTTAAGGAACATTTATGAATTCGCCTTAAAACAAAACTTGATCACCGATTATGACTCACAGTGAAATCAGACTTAACCAAAACATGAGATGAGAATTCGTCCGTCAATAGCCCATGTCAATAAGTTAAAATAGAATAATACACAATGCTAATCCTTAATTACAAAATGTAATTTATAAGCTAACAATATAACTTTATTCAAGTATATACTAATATCAAGTACTAAGAATATAAAAATATACAAAATACATGAAATAACAGGCTATCACAAATGTATATAACCTTGGTATCATCTCCCTTTTTTCACTGCTAGGTTAATACAAAAACATTTAATGGTAAAACCATCCATGTCATTCTCTAGGGTTTATAGCCTCTTCAAGGGAATATTCATTTAGAAATTAACTGACGAAAGTTTTATGCATGCTGTTTGTAGGGCTAACAAATCAAGATGCGATCAACATGTACTAATGTTCCTTTGAATACATTTATTTTTAAAGCTAAGCAAATAGTAGGATCTTTGAATATTGTCATTATTGATACTCAAATTGAGTGTTCATTTTTGTATTTTTAATAGTTTAATATAAAACTAAACATGTATTCACGTATTAACACTACATACTTCTATTATGGCATTGAACATCTCCAGGCTATTCTCAGACTGGTTATTACGTCTTTACGTTGAACATGTCGGAGGTGTGATGAGTGATGTTTTAGTCTGGGATAACATGATTCAGTCATTACTTAAAATTGAGCTTTGAACTAGAATCTTATTGCAAGTACTTTCAGATTGGTACTTTGTGTTTTTGTCTTCTGGTTATTTGGCGTTGTGCTAAGTACCCGTCTGATGAGTCAAACCCTTCCCAACTGAAGTTTACTGTTTGTCATATGCGTGTTATAACAACATTGTCCACAGTAATGGAGAGGGTTGAAAATTAACAAACATGATAAACCCCGACACAATCTTCCAGTGCATATTCCAAACCTGTTATCCGGTGGTTGATATTGATTGCTGTCTGTCAATTTTGTTTTTCGTTCATTGGTGAAATATTAATCAGCCCGTTGGTTTTCTTTTTCAGATTGTTTCACACTTTGTCATATCGTGACCTTTTATCGCTTACTATACGGTATGGAGTTTGGTCCCTGTTAAAGGACATAAGGTGATCTGCAAATGAAAATAATGCTTTATAAATTAGTTGCGTCCGAAGCGCTTTTCTGGATTTTGTTATTGTTCTCATCTATGTCATTTGGTACAATGAGTAGTTGGCTCACTGGCAATGATAACACATATTTTTTATTTTATGTTAAAAAAATGTCATCACAAAAATACCGAACTCCAATGTAAATTAAAAACGGAGAAGTCCATGAAAACAGACGAAACCAAAAGCTCGACTATATCAACCAATATATTGGAAAACAACTGTCATATTCCTAACTTGGTACAGGTATTTTCTTCATTTTCCGAAGACAATGCTGGGCTAAACCTGGTTTTATAGCTAAATAAACCTCTCACTTGTATGTCAGTTGTATACATTCCGTTATATTGACAAAATTGTGTGCCCAAACAGTCTTAAGTGGTTAACGTGAGAACAGTATTTGTGATATTAAGTTATTTATGAATAATTCATGCTATTATATCATGAACTGTATATCCATCTCATATGTCTGTTTGTTAAATTTACCACAATGTTCGTTTCTGTTTCATAGATTCACTGTCAAATCAGCCTTTAGACTGAGTGCGCCTTTTAATAACCTGTATACACATTTTTTTTTCGAAACTAATGACAGTGTTTGTAGGAAGACTTTACTTGTTTTTTTTTCATAATTAAGTAATTACCTCTTCGTGTTAATAAATAAAAGACGATTTAACGGAAACGCCAGGAAGACAACACTCTAGTAATAAATTTGACAAATTCAAGACATAAATAAAGAGGAGAACATACGATATTTGTTGGAAGGGGTGTCAAAGCCTTTAATTGACCACCTTTTTTTATATAGCATTGTCTACTGATCGATATTTTAGTCTTAGATACATAATTTTTTTAAGAGTTGTAATTGGCTTTGCACTAGCTTTCAGTAACTGCGAGTACTCTCAGATCTGTACTTTTGTGTCTTTTTTGTGAAAAGTAAACTAACAAAAATACAGAACTCCAAGGAAATTGAAAAACGGAAAGTCCTTTATCAAATGGCAAAACCAAAAGCTCAAACACATCAAATGAATGGAAAACAGCTGTCATATTCCTGACTTGGTACAGGCATTTCTTTATGTAGAAAATGGTGGGTTAAACCTGGTTTTATAGCTAGCTAAACCTCTCACTTGTATGAAAATCGCATAGAATTCCATTATGTTGACAACAATGTGTGAGAAAAAAAAACCCAGACATAATAGGCAAAAAATGTCAAAAATTGTGAGGAATGTATAAATTCCCTGCCACGTCCGATCTGTGTTTTTGTCAGTTGTTTTCTGCTGTGTATCGATCTTTTGAGTTCAGCCCTTTTTAACTGATTTTTTATAGTTTGTTCTTATATTGTACTGTTACACCACTGTCCCGGGTTAGTGGGAGGGTTTGGCGCCAGCAAACAAGTTTTACCCCGCCACATTCTGTATGACCCTGTCCCAAGCCAGAAGCCTATAATTCAGTGGTTGTCCTGTTCATGTATATGATATTTGTTTTTCGTTTATTGTTTTGTACATAAATCAGGCCGTTAGATTTTTCGTTTGAATTGTTTTAAATATGTCATTTCGGGGCCTTTTAAAGCTTGCTATGCGGTATGAGGTTTTGCACATTGTTGAAGGCCCAACGGTGACCTATAGTTACTAACTTGTATGCATTTGGTCTCTGTTGGAGAGTTGTCTCATTGGCATTTATACCATATCTTCTTATTTTTATATAGAATGAGAGAAAACGTTTATATTACAGGAAAGAAAGGAATATAGTGGAAGCTGCATCGAATGGAGCATGTATGTCGGTGAAACTTGTTGCCAATATTGCTGTAAATCTCATAGCCTTTATATCACTTCTTCAGTTTGTAAATGCCACTTTAACGTGGTTTGGAGAGAGAGCAGGCTTATATCCACCAGAGCATGAACTTCTTACTTTTCAGGTATGTAGAATGTAGTACCAGTTTGATATGTTAGATATTAAATTGAAGTTTCAAATTTGGTTTTAATTCTAGCATTGTTCTTTAGTGTTGAATTATTTTCAGAATTTTGGGTCCTCAATGCTCTTCACACTTCGTACTTTATTTGCCCTTTTTAACGTTTTTGATTCGAGCGTCACTGATGAGTTATTTTTTGACGAAACGCGCGTCTGGCATACAAAATGACGATGATTGTTTTATAGGAGAACCTTATGGGTGTCAAAGAACAGGCAATTTAAACTATTTGTTTGTGGACTGGTCATTTTCTACATTGGGGCATAGGAGGAAATATTTTTTTCTCTCCTCTAAAACCAAAACAATTTACAGTAGAAAAGACGCAATCCTAGACTGAGTAAAACAAAATATATGAGAGAGTTCTAATGCTCCAGAAACAAAAGCAACCTTACAATTGGTGATGCTCATGACAAGTAAAGATCCAGTTACAAGTTCTATCCAGTGTTTAGTCATGAACAAGGAATAATAATGGAAATTTGCCTTCAACAAATGAAATATATTTGTATACGAAGCATATTTATTTCGAAAACATAATAATACTTTAAAGAAATTAAAAGCTAAACACTAACCAAAGTTCTGTCTGAAGTTTAACTACTTATTGCTTTTGAGATTGAAAAATATTTTGTATCCGGATGATCATGCAAAACTTAACAAAATAGCGTAAAATTATCGAAATGTAAGTAACTTGTCTACAACATCAGCATTTAATAGATATAGGAAGATTTAAGTACATTTCGATTTCGGATGAGTGTAAATTAGAAAAATATTTTGAAGTATATCATATAGTCTCTAATACTCTAATATTCAAATTTCAATCGGCTTTGCCCATTTTCCAATTTTGACCATTTGGGTAAAAACACTTTTGTCATTTTTTAACGCTTCTAAAAATAAGAAAGTGATTACTACAGAATTATGAAAATTCTTCAGACTATGAATGAACTCGAAAAAGACTTCTTGCAATCATTTTTTATCTACATAGACATGCTACGGATATCATTGCTTTTTCAGAAAGAACAGGATGTATTTAAAATTAAAGCTTGCAAGTTAAAGATTACTGGCCAAAGTAGCAATCATAAATAATCTTGTAAAAAAAAAGGTAAATAGTATCACGGTCATGACTAACCTTTGGTCATGGTGCATTGTAAAAACAATATGACAATTTATTACAATTTATTACAACATTTTGCAATGTAAATTTATCTGATATTACTTTTCATTTTAGTTCATTTGCTCCTATGTATTTTGGCCTATGTCGTGGGTAATGGGCGTCCACCATACTGATTGTCGTGTGCTTGGAGAACTAATCGGAATCAAAACTTTCATCAACGAGTTCGTTGCTTACAATGAACTATCCAAATACATAGACAATAGGGCCAACCTAACATGGTATATGGGACTACCAGCTCTTAACAGCAGTTACACAGGAAACTATACATATGTTGGTCGGGATATCCATTATCTGGATTTCAATCACACTCTCGTTGGAGGAATCATTCAGGTATGTCATATATTATTTTGCAAATGGTGCCTTTATCGTTTAGATGTTTCATGACTTATCTGAATTATTCAAAAAGTTAAAGGTGATATCTTAAATATTTTGGTATTTTATTTATTTTTCTTAATTATTCAAGTTTATTCGTATATTAGAATGAGTTTTGTTATCTTAAATAGTCAGGGCGTTAGTTTTCTCAATTGAATTGTTTCATATTTTTCATGTCGGGGCCTTTTATAGCCGACTATATGGTATGGTTTTTTTCTCATTGATGAAGGACGTACAGTTGACTATAATTGCTTACATCCACTTCATTTGAACTTTGGGGGAAAGTTGCCTCATTGGCAATCATACCACATCTCCTTATTTTATACTTATTGCTGTATGTTGACCGCTAGATGGTTTTTTGTATTGTTGGGTAACTTATTTATTGACGTATTTCTAGTATTATCTGAATAATTCTGTTCAGTACATGCATTTATCACTTTACTAAACACTTTAGCGTTATTGTTCAAATGTTTTTTTCTTTATTGAACAATTTACATAAAAATAGAAATAGGAAGATGTGGCATGATTGCAAATGAAACAGTCCACAATAGACAAAATAACTGAGTTGTACTCAACAGTAGGTCATCGTAAGGTCTCCAATAATGAACAAAGCCCATACCGTAGAGTCAGCTATCAAAGGCCCCGACATAACAAAATGTAAAACAATTCAAACACAAAAAAAAACTGATTGCCTGATTCGTGTACAAAACGACAACCGAAAATTTAACCAAATATGGTAGACGTCGACCAACGACAACCAATGAATTACAGTCTCTTGACTGGGAACAGACAAACACATAATATGGCGAGGTTAAACATGTAAGCGAGTGTTCAACGTCCACCTAGCCTGGAACAGCCTGGTGTTATAGCACAATATATGATCAAACTATATAATCAGTTTAAAAAGGCTTGACTCAGCATATCTACAAAAGGGAAAAAACAACTAACAAAAAGACTTAAAGACACAAAGTATTAATCTTAGAGTACTTACAGTTACCGAAAGCTAGTTCAAAACCATTTTTGCAACTAATGAATCATTTTGCTCAGACAAAATCATTGTATATGATATGGTTTTTGAAAATAAATTAAATATGCTATAACTTATAATTCCCAAAATGTTTTATAAATCAAATCAATACTTGTCATAGGCGATGACCACTTAACGTCATAAGCCAACGGCACAATATACGCAAAAAGAAGTCAAATTTTATTCCCTCGTCTTACATGTCTTCACGATAGCAGTTATGGCCTTTTAAAATGCCAGATAGTAAATTCGTCTATCCTTTCAAAATTTATTATTGGTAAATGAAATGAATAATTTAAATCTGACAATTGAATTGATGAATGTCAGATGTCAGTGTGTTTTAATTATGGAAACGCATCACATGTAACATGATTTTAAACAAGACGACATACGCGTGTGTGTTTTTTTTTTTAACATAATAAGATATGAGTCACATCTTTAACCAAAAATAAAGTATTACCACATTAACATCTATGATAAGACTTCCTGTGACAGAATATCTTTTAAGGAAGGTTATGACTCTAGTTTAGATGTTAGTGACAAGATCTCAACTTGATGCTAATTTTGCAGTTTTTCTTTAAATGCAAAAAGTTTGAAGGCCTTTATCAAATTTGGAAGACTAACTGAAAAATAAAAACAATTTTCAATTAACGAAAACTCGGACTGCTGTAGTAGAATAATTTTATTTAAAATACTACATTTCCCAATTCACACTGAAGATTTTTCCTATTCCACATCAACAAATATGTTTATTTGATGTTCGATTAACTTTGTGTTGGTGCATTATTGTATCCCTTCTTACAAATATACAGCACACTTTTAAACGTTAAAATATGCTGCGTGTACTAATGTGAAAATAAACATACACGTGTATTTATGTGAAGATAAACACTTCTTATCATCTCATTTTTTCAAAATATTTTCTATCTTTTCTAATTTTCTTAAATTTAGATGCCTGAATATTATATCATTTAAAATTGTAAGTAAGTATTTGCATGATTAAGACGTTCTAAGTGTGATTAACTTAAGTGTTATCATTTTTGCTTTGTTTTTGCCAATAACATTTGTTTAACTGAAAATATGTATGCTGTTGCCAAAAACTTGCCTACAACTTTTAGTAGGATTTGTTTGCGACTGGGTTAATGATGACGTTGCATTATCTTTATACCTGTTTCATTCTTTAAGGAAGTTATCAAATAGTTTTACCTGTAATATTTGACTGTAGTAAAAGTAAAAGATTCCTTTATAGATTTTTATTTTGTATGTATATAGTCTAGTTAAATAATTAATGGGTTAGTTTGGACTATATCAATGCTAGTCTACATAGTCCTAATCATTGTGAGATTTGAAGTATTTGATCTCATTGCAAGATTTTTTACACAAAAAGTAAAGCACAAATTCAGCTAAAGTGAATACATCTCCCTTTTTTTGTTGTACTCACAGTGGTTCTCCTGCTAGCCTAGATAGTGTACTATAAATATATAAATAATACATCTTATTTGCCATAATGGGTTGAACAACTATATCAATAAATGATGTTGAGGAATTTTATCTCTGTCACACCGACTAAATTATTATCATTAGCTATAAAATATACATTTAAAATCACCAGCAGCAGGTACTGTTGACAAAATGTCATTTGACCGAACTACAAGCATTTGACCGAACTACAAGCATGTTATTCGAAGACAATCATGAAGTCGTAGCAAGTAACTGGTAGATAGATCTCTTTTGTTTCTTCTCTAGGATAGGTCAATGGTAATTGCGACTTATGCCTTATGTGGGTTTTCAAATGTCGGTTCTATTGGCATTATGCTTGGAGCCCTAGGGGCCATGGCACCTACTCGAAAGCAGGATCTCACCAAAGTGGTGGTGAGAGCAATGATTTGTGGAAACGTAGCTTGCTTCCTTACAGCATGCTTAGCAGGTAAACTATCATTTACTCCCTATAATATTTCCAAAACAATATTTTTTTTTGGCTATTCTGCACGTTTCAATACCTGTATTTTCCAGTGACAAGAAGCAAGAACATCATATTTAATTGCTTTAACCTTACTTGGTAAAATGGTCGAAAAAAGATATTAATTAATGATACTTTAAGTACCGCGACAATTTCAATTATTTTTTTTTGGTGGCTGTTGATAAATTCGTTGATTTCTTAAAACCTGTGCTTTTGTAAGATGTTTTTCTGCTGGATCGATCTGATGAGTTCAGCCCCTTTCAATTGATTTTAATAGTTTGTCCTTATGTTGTACTATTACACCACTGTCCCAGGTTAGGGGGAGGGTTTGGCGCCAGCAAACTAGTTTAACCCTGCAAACTTATGTATGTGCATGTCCCAAGTCAGGAGTCAATTTAGTGGTTGTCGTTTGTTGCTGTGTATCATATTTGATTTTTTTCGTTTATTGGTTTGTACATAAATCAGACCGTAAGCTTACTTGTTTGAATTGTTTTACATTTGTCATTTCGGGGCCTTTTATAGCTGACTATGCGGTATGGGTTTTGTACATTGTTGAAGGCCGTACGTGACCTATAGTTGTTAACGTCTATGTCATTTGGTCTCTAGTGGAGAGTTGTCTCATTGGCAATCATACCACACCTTTTATTTGTATATTCTGTAAAATTACCATCATAAAAACAAAGCTTAGAAAATAATGCACCCTTGGTATTTCAAACCGAAAAATACCGAGTTGGCAGTAGATACATCGTGGGGAGGACAGTAGATAGATCGTGGGGAGGACAGTAGATAGAACGTGGGGAGGAAAGACAGTAGATAGATCGTGGGGAGGACAGTAGATAGATCGTGGGGAGGACAGTAGATAGATCGTGGGGAGGAAAGACAGTAGATAGATCGTGGGGAGGACAGTAGATAGATCGTGGGGAGGACAGTAGTAGAAAGATCGTGGGGAGGACAGTAGATAGATTGTGGGGAGGAAAGACAGTAGATAGATCGTGGGGAGGACAGTAGATAGATCGTGGAGAGGACAGTAGATAGATCGTGGGGAGGAAAGACAGTAGATATATCGTGGGGAGGACAGTAGATAGATCGTGGGGAGGACAGTAGATAGATCGTGGGGAGGAAAGACAGTAGATAGATCGTGGGGAGGACAGTAGATAGATCGTGGGGAGGACAGTAGTAGAAAGATCGTGGGGAGGACAGTAGATAGATTGTGGGGAGGAAAGACAGTAGATAGATCGTGGGGAGGACAGTAGATAGATCGTGGGGAGGACAGTAGAAAGATCGTGGGGAGGAAAGACAGTAGATAGATCGTGGGGAGGACAGTAGAAAGATCGTGGGGAGGACAGTAGATAGATTGTGGGGAGGAAAGACAGTAGATAGATTGTGGGGAGGACAGTAGATAGATCGTGGGGAGGACAGTAGATAGATCGTGGGGAGGACAGTAGATAGATCGTGGGAAGGAATGGTAGATAGATCGTGGGGAGGACCGTAGATACATCGGGGGGAGGAAAGACAGTAGACAGATCGTGGGGAGGACAGTAGATAGATCGTGGGGAGGACAGACAGTAGATAGATCGTGGGGATGAAAGACAGTAGATATATCGTGGGGAGGACAGTAGATAGATCGTGGGGAAGACAGTAGATAGATCATGGGGAGGACAGTAGATACATCGTGGGGAGGACAGTAGATAGATCGTGGGAAGAAAAGACAGTAGATAGATCGTGGGGAGGACAGTAGATAGATCGTGGGGAGGACCGTAGATACATCGGGGGGGAGGAAAGACAGTAGACAGATCGTGGGGAGGACAGTAGATAGATCGTGGGGAGGACAGACAGTAGATAGATCTTGGGGAGGACAGTAGATAGATCGTGGGGATGAAAGACAGTAGATAGATCGTGGGGAGGACAGTAGATAGATCGTGGGGAGGACGATAGATAGATCGTAGGGAGGACAGTAGATAGAGCATGGGGAGGAAATAGATCGTGGGGAGAACAGTAGATAGATCGTGAGGAGGACAGTAGATAGATCGTGGGGAGGAAAGACAGTAGATAGATCGTGGGGAGGACAGTAGATAGATCGTGGGGAGGACAGTAGATAGATTGTGGGGAGGGAAGACAGTAGATAGATCGTGGGGAGGACAGTAGATAGATCGTGGGGAGGACAGTAGAAAGATCGTGGGGAGGACAGTAGATAGATCTTGGGGAGGACAGTAGAAAGATTGTTTGGAGGACAGTAGATAGATCGTGGGAAGGAAAGACAGTAGATAGATCGTGGGGAGGACAGTAGATATATCGTGGATAGATCGTGGGGAGGACAGTAGATAGATCGTGGATAGATCGTGGGGAGGACAGATTTATTGACAGTTGATAGATCAGATCGTGTGAAGAAAGATTTATTGACAGTTGATAGATCGTGGGAAGGACAGATTTATTGACAGTAGATAGATCGTGGGAAGGACAGATTTATTGACAGTTGATAGATCGTGGGGAGGACAGAATTATTGACAGTAGATAGATCGTGGGAAGGACAGATTTATTGACAGTAGATAGATCGTGGGAAGGACAGATTTATTGACAGTAGATAGATCGTGGGGAGGACAGATTTATTGACAGTAGATAGATCGTGGGGAGGAAAGATTTATTGACAGTAGATAGATCGTGGGGAGGACAGATTTATTGACAGTAGATAGATCGTGGGGAGGACAGATTTATTGACAGTAGATAGATCGTGGGGAGGACAGATTTATTGACTGTAGATAGATCGTGGGGAGGACAGATTTATTGACAGTAGATAGATCGTGGGGAGGACAGAATTATTGACAGTAGATAGATCGTGGGGAGGACAGAATTATTGACAGTAGATAGATCGTGGGGAGGACAGATTTACTGACAGTAGATAGATCGTGGGGAGGACAGATTTATTGACAGTAGATAGATCGTGGGGAGGAAAGATTTATTGACAGTAGATAGATCGTGGGGAGGAAAGATTTATTGACAGTAGATAGATCGTGTGAAGGACAGATTTATTGATAGTAGATAGATCGTGGGGAGGACAGATTTATTGACAGTAGATAGATCGTGGGGAGGACAGATTTATTGACAGTAGATAGATCGTGGGGAGGACAGATTTATTGATAGTAGATAGATCGTGGGGAGGACAGATTTATTGACAGTAGATAGATCGTGGGGAGGAAAGATTTATTGACAGTAGATAGATCGTAGGGAGGACAGAATTATTGACAGTAGATATATCGTGGGGAGGAAAGAATTATTGACAGTTGATAGATCGTAAGGGAGGACGGATTTATTGACAGTAGTTAGATCGTGGGAAGGACAGATTTATTGACAGAAGTTAGATCGTGGGGAGGACAGATTTATTGACAGTAGATAGATCGTGGGGAGGACAGAATTATTGACAGTAGATAGATCGTGGGGAGGACAGAATTATTGACAGTTGATAGATCGTGGGGAGGACAGATTTATTGACAGTAGTTAGATCGTGGGGAGGACAGATTTATTGACAGTAGATAGATCGTGGGGAGGACAGATTTATTGACAGTAGATAGATCGTGGGGAGGAAAGATTTATTGACAGTAGATACATCGTGGGGAGGAAAGATTTATTGACAGTAGATAGATCGTGGGGAGGACAGAATTATTGGCAGTAGATAGATCGTGGGGAGGACAGATTTATTGACAGTAGATAGATCGTGGGGAGGACAGATTTATTGACAGTAGATAGATCGTGGGGAGGACAGATTTATTGACAGTAGATAGATCGTGGGGAGGACGGATTTATTGACAGTAGATAGATCGTGGGGAGGAAAGATTTATTGACAGCTAATGTTATTAAATGATTACTTGAACGTATTAATTGATGCAACGAGTTGTTGTGAATGACTAAGTTACTAAGTAGAACACGAAGGAAGTAGAAATAAGCAAATTGAAAATTCACAGACAATAAAAGGGTCGAATATCTGTAAACATTAATCCAAAATAGAATCGTTTCATTTATAAAAAAAATATTAACAAAAATACCGAACTCCAAGGTAAATTTAAAAAAAAGTGGAAGTCCATAACACATGACAAATCAAATGCACGACTATATCAACTTACAGAATGAATGGAAAATAACAGGAATTTCCAAAAAAACGATGGGTTAAACTTGGCGGATCAAAGAAGTGCGTAGAGTATTTATTCTTTTTCTCTCCATTTTACTGCTACTTGTGTTTAAGACTTTTTAATACTCGCACACAAACACAGTTATGAATTCCTATATAAACAATTACTTATTATTTGTATATTTTTTTTGAAGGTTTAATGTATGAATCAAGATAAAGTGTAGGAGAGTGACAACGTTTAATTAAAGACCGTGCAATAACATTTTAGCTAGCCAGTAATGAGGGAATTATGATGTTTATATCACTGAACTTCATTTTACTTCATGTTATTCAAGTATTCCTTAAAAGACGATGAGACAGTCGATTCATAATTTGTTTTTATATATGTATACTCAGAAAACAGATGCATTTAACAAAAATTTAAATGAAAATTGAATCTTTACCTTATCTTTTATTTGATATTGCATTTAATTTTTTTTTTAAAGGAAAATCGAATCTTTACCTTATATTTTACTTGAAATTAATATATTTTTAGCTTTTTATATCTTATATATTTTTATCACGTATTATATATCTTCAGTATCATTTAATATTTTGAAATATCGATTTTTGCATTTGCTTTTTTATATATTTAATTTACTTTCAAACTTGATATGTATAATTTTATTGAATTTTTTACTCTGTAATTTTTGTCTCGCCTTGACGGAGTCAAAAAGCGAGACATAGGTATGCTGTTTCCGGCGTCGGAGTCGGCGGTGTCAACAATGTATTAGTTTGTGATTAGGTCTTGTGTATGGTGAACCACCAGTGGTAGGTCAATATTTGGTATGCAGTTGTATTAGCATTGGCACATCTCTTTACCATGGAGATTTTTTGCCCCCCCCCCCCCTCAGTCAGGGTCTATTGACTTTGAAACTTTTGCTTAGTTTTCATGTTTTAGTTTGTGATTATGTCAGTTTAAGGGGAACCGTTAGTGGTAGGTCAATGATAATTGGTATGCAGTTGTATAAGCATTTGTACATCTCATTTCTATGGAGAATATTTGGTCCTTACCCCTTGTCATGGTCTATTGACTTTGAAACTTTTGCTTAGTTTACATGTATTAGTTTGTGATTTAATAGGTCAGTTTAAGATGAACCACTAATGTTAAGTCAATGATATTTGGTATGCAAATGTATTGGTATTTGCAAGTTTCATTTCCATGGAGATTATATAACCCCACCCCCTCATTATGGTTCATTGACTTTGAAACTTTTACATAGTTTACAAGTTAATGTTTGTTTAAAAGGAACGACTTATGAAAAGTCAATGGTATATGGTATGCAGTTGTATTAGCATTGGCACATCTCATTTCCGTGGAGATTGTTTAGCCCTGTACCTTCAGTCATGGTTCATTGGCTTAGAATATTTGCATAACTTAATAGAAAATGAAAGGAGATGGGGTATCCATCCATGACACAAAATCAGTTCATGCACAGCAAAAAACACACACATGTTAAAGTATTGCTATTTTAATTTCAACATTTGCATTTATCAAAATAACAAATAGGCGAGACATATCTCTGTGTTAACAGTTTATTATATATGTTGACATATCATTTATGTGAATGTTTTTGTACATGTATGTTATTTAAACAAGACGTTCTGTACTAAATTTATCAGCAAAAGTATCAAAATTATTTTATAATGCATTTTCTAATTTTTCGAATTCATTGTGTTGTATGTTGCTTCAGCCATCATTTTACCATTTAAGGACATGAGGTAAAAATTCACAAATTATACCAAGCTTATATACGTCCCGTTTTTGTCTTCATTCAATTGAAAATAGTTTTATTACTATAAAAGTCTATGTTACAAATTAACGACATAATATATAGAAATGTGTTCTACATTTATTATTCATTGTATTGTATTTTCACCCAAAACACACATTAATTTCATTATATTGGGTTAATTACAATATGACGTTTCAAGTTAAGGAAACGAGGTACTAGCGCCCATTTTGTCTCCTTTAATTCATGAAAATAGTTTTGCTACTTTAAAAATCTATGGTACAAGTTAATGACATAACAAAAAGAAAGTTTCAAATAACTTGTTAAAATTGATTGCTGTACCTTGAAAATAGACACTTATTGGTTTTTGTGTTAACAGTAAAAAATAATAAAGAAGTATTTTTTCTATATTCTCCAAAAATCAATTGATTTGTAAGGCCTGTTTCGATTTTATCACAGTAATAAGGATTATTTTGGAGGCAGTTAATTAGTTTGAAGAGTCGGATGAGTCTCAAACTGAAAAAAATCCGAAGCTTTTGAATGAAAGGCTACGTTTACACACCATTTATTTGTTTGTAAACGTGCCTTTAATTCACAAGTAAAACTAAATTTATAACTAAAAATTCCAATGAAGTGCTCTAAAATAAAATAATTTGAAATTAATGTTCACATAGAAAACCTTGAAGAACTATTCACCTGTGTAGTAATTGATCCTTGTAACATACAAGTATATACATATACACGTATAAAAATTTACTTTCCATGACACCCTCCAATTAAAAAGATCAAAGATACTTTTTAGAATTATATTTTCATATTTGATGTCGGAGCATTAATTGGACTTTTTGCTGGTTGTCCTTTTTCTGGTATTTTTTAAGCTCCGATATCATAAAAGGGTTATTGACAAATGCATATGATAACGTAACATATGGACGGACGGACATGTGATAATAACCGGAAGAAGTTTGTAATTGTTTTATATCATCAAGTTTTGCACATTGTTATCATTTTATTTTATTGTTAATTTTAGATTTGATTTTACCAGTATAAATAATATGCAGTAAACCTATAGTTTTGTCCACAATAATTTGCTTGAAAACTTAATTTTTTTTAATAAATGAATAAAACAAAACTTACCTATGTCAGAATTTGATGGTTACAGTGTGTCAGTGGACCTGGTTTAATATTTCCTACTTAGCAATGAGCTGTCTGAAAAAATGGGCTTTGTTGATTTTCAGATGCTAAACAGTTTGGCAAAATATTAACAACAAAAAAAGAATAAAAAATAATCAAAATAAAATTTTACATTTATGATATTCTTTCACAAATTTCTCCTAAGACAAAAAAAGTCTTTTCGGTCAACAAGACTTTATCCAATATGACTTCACACAAGCGCATATAAATTGAAAACTTAATTAACTGAAATATAATTGCGTTGATTGTGATTATAGTGCGTTATTGGTGTCTATAAGTCGACACAACTATTTACATTACAGGATACGAATACTCATAGAAAAAAGCGAAAGATTTTTATTTACTGAGTTTCATTTTGCCACTTAAATTGTTGAAATTATACAAATGTTGCATTGACATGTGCATTTACAATGGCGTTTCATAAACAAGTACAGACTATGCAAACCTTTTTGTGGTTCGTTTAAAGAATATTGTGTAATTTAATAAATAAAAAAAACGGGAAATATCTCAAATCTCTCTCGTTGAAACTAAACAAGTGAAACATATCAATTTAACTAAAATTTGATTTTTTCTTTGGTAAATGCTGATGCCCCTTCCTGTAAAAAGTAAAAGAACAAAAATATCGAACTCAAAGGAAAATTCAAAACGGAAAGTCCCTTATCAAATGGCAAAATCAAAAGCTCAAACACATCAAACGAATGGAAAAAGTAAAATAACAAAAATACCGAACTCAAAGGAAAATTCAAAACGGAAAATCCGTTATCAATTGGAAAAATCAAAAGTTCAAACACATCAAACGAATGAAAAAATAAGATAACAAAAATACCGAGCTCCAAGGAAAATTTAAAACGGAAAATCCCTTCTGAAATGGCAAAATCAAAAGCTCAAACACATCAAACGAATGGAAAAAGGTATAATAACAAAAATACCGAACTCCAAGGAAAATTTCAAAACAGAAAGTCCTCATCAAATGGCAAAATCAAAAGCTTAAACACATCAAACGAATGGCAAACAACTGTCACATTCCTGACTTGGTACAGGCATTTCCTTATGTAGAAAATATTTATGTTGCTTATAAGAGAAAATCTACTATAAATGCACAGTTTTACAGATAAAATTAAATTTGATTTTAAAGCATTTGATAAACAAATTTTTTTTTTCATTTCGCTGAATGAACAGATGAAAACTTCCATGGTCATCAGTTGTTGTGCCACTATAAGAGAGTTTGATATGATTGTTCATTATCAATTGGCGAAATTCTTGTAATTATTCGATTTTCTGTTAGGGCGTAAAAGAGAGACGAAAGATACCAGAGGGGCATTCAAACTCATAAGTCGTAAAGTTCTACTCAAATCAATTGTATATCTATATTGGTGAAAATACTTTGCAAATGTTGATTTCTTGAGTAAAATATGTACAATGTGTAAATTTATTGTCTGATTGGTTGCCAGGGCGACATTTGGAAAGTTAAAAAAACACTAAAATAATTTATAAAAATAGTCTTGTGTATTTTCAAGATCCAAAAGTTCAGGATTTCATTACGGATGTTCGGTAAAAATTTAAGGGGGTGTCTCTGACTTTATTTTAATAGTACATTCTCAGAAATATGATTTCACTTGACCTGTATATTTAGTTTTCTAGTAATTTGAATTGTTAATGATATTATATCCACATTAAGCTTTAAAAGATAAATGTAATGGAATCTAAAGCGAGATGATATATCATATGTTTTTGTTTTATAAAATTAAAGGACAAAGCATTAGACTCGAACACGCTTAGAATAACTAAAATATGTACTCATTTTTTTCTTTGCGATATGGTTGTTACCCTTTTCAGGATTTTGTTTTACTAAATTAATGCTTTTAACAGACAAAGCTCTTTTGGATTTTTTTAAATGGATTTTATTGATATGCATCTTTAAGATCCAAAGTATTTGCACCTACTTTTGAATATTCATATTGTGAAGTAGATGTACAGTTGTCTCTGCTTGCAATACCTTACTGTATTTATTTTTTACTTGATTTCTTACTATCGGACTTTTACCGTGAACAGCTGGACGGGTGTTAGTGTGGAGCAGAAATCGCTCAATTGTTGTATAAAGGTATACCTAGATATGTTAATAATAGTAAACCAATACCTCCTGAATCTGACATTTTTATACCAAATATAAGTATTCCAATTTCCCTTAATCTGCGATTTTTTCATAGGTCACTCCTGCCTCATAGTATCGTTTTCTTAAACTTATTCGTCCAATAATCCATCATATGCCGATTCTGTATTAGACCGAGTTTGTGAGGTCGATTTTGTTAAATACCGAGATGGTTAAGGACCGAGTCTTCAGAGACTCAAACGTAAGTAATAGACATAAAATAGTAAAAATGTAAGTTAGTAAATTTTTATTAAATCGGTCAAGATATGAACAATTTAACGAAGTAACATGAGCTCTTTAGAGCTTTTAAGCCGACTTGACATTTATTTAAGGAATGACTGTCTTTGAAGAAATAACACAAAAAATGTGGTGCATACTGAATAACCCGCGTAGCGGGTTATTTAAAAGTGTGCACCACATTTTTGAGGTTATTTCGAATAGACAGAAGGAATATTACAGTCAGTCCTTATAATTTAATTCTTAATTCCAGTTTTAAGGAGTAAATCATGAAAAAATGTTGATGACGTCACAAAATTATGTCTATGAGCTGATAGACAAAAAACTTTCAGCCAATCAGAAGACGTGTTACATCCAAAATTAAATTATAAACAAATAAAAATCATAAGCCAATAAGGCAGAGAACAACACACATATGCATAACATAATAGATAAGCAACATACATAAATCAAAGCAAGCAAACTGAAAGCAAATTTCAGGGAAGTAGCTGACAAAGACAAAACACTGTTATATAATAATTAAAATAAGAGCAAACAATTCACAAAATACCGAAGGCAAGAGAACTTCTGCTGTTTGGCAGCAAAGTTATTGTCCACGTGAGCTACAGAAACAATTATCTGAAGACCATCATGTTAAAATAAAATGTTTGAACTGTACAAAATTTGAGAGATCCCGTTCTTGGTTAGGCAGGGAGTTCCACAACTTTACTGCCTCAAATCTAAAGCTTTTTTGCCATACCTTGTAGTTTTTGATCGTGGTATATCAACTGTGAGCTTATATCTAATATTATATGAATTATCTTTAGAATTAATCATATTGCGGAAGAAAGCAGGACTGGATTTTGTCACAATTTTGTACGTTTCTAATGCCATAATTCTCATGCGTCTGATCTTGAGTGTTGGAAGGTAAGTTGTTCAAGTAATTGTTCGTATGTGTTGTTAAAGTCATTGTAAAAGAATCTCAACGTTCGTTCTTGACGTTTTTCAATTTTGATGGTGTTGCGCTCGCTACAAAAGTGCCATGTAAGTGGGCAGTAATTTAGTTTCGAATGATGAATGAGTGATAAATCGCCATTTTTTGCCAGTTTTTTTAAAGTTTGTTCCGGAACCGATTTAGAAATTATTTTGTTTTCTGAATGATTTGAGTGCAAATAGGGAGTCTTATGAAGACCAAACGCGCGTCTGGCGTATCAAACTATCAGCCTGGAATATTTAATTAGTTGTACAAACACAGGGCCAATACCACTGATGATATATGTTTCATTCCCGAGGCTATAACCATTCCAGTAATCAGTACTTCTGCTCTGACATGAAATATCATAGATATGTTATTATAAGTTTCTGTAAATTGACTGTTCATTAATTGTAGATTTTTCGAAATACTAAGGTTTTTTCTTACTCGGAATTTTCTATTTTTGGTACTCTTCAACTTCGTAATTAAAGTCATATTCAAAAAGAAAAGGTGAACATGTTTTATATAAAAGAATATATAAGTTTAACTATAAAAAAAAGTGTAAAGACTGTCTTTTTAAAGGGGCATTAGCTGTCAAATTCATGTTCACCGATTTGACTCAAATTTTCATATTTGATTTATAACATAATAAAACTTATATTTAAATAAAAAAAAGTCTAATATGAACAATTAACAATACAAGGACTCGATCATATGTAGCAGCGTTTCGTGTGTATCTTAGTCTAGACGCAATCGAATTAACCATCGAGATGACCTCCGAAGACTGCCGACGGCCATATAACCCGATATAAAAAAAATATATATAAATAGATAGAGAGTACGTGCAATTAGATTTCATGTTATAGGTGAAAAAAATATGTTAATCATTGTCTTTACCTGTATAAGAATGATTTTTTGTGGATCGAATCAGTAAACGAAACGGTTCACCCTTGTTTCACTTTCAATGTTAACATTCCTTTCCTTTTAAAAGCTGAGCACGCCATATATATGCGTAATCCATCTCCAACTAAGGGGTTAAATTGAAGGTCACATGAATACGGATTCAATTGAGGTTGTATTATTGACTTGCAAGTCAATAATACATTAGCGATGTTTTTGGGCGCATTTAACCAAATTGACTGCTCATAACGAAATATTATTTTAAAATTCGCTTTTATTAATAGTTGAAACAAAAAGAATCGTTTTTTGATTTTTTTGTCTAAATCGTAGCTTGTGTCCCTTTAAAGAAAATAATTTATATTATCGAATCTTCACAAATGAACTGCTATTAAATTAGTGGCATCCCGTACTTGTGGCCTTAACTACCATATCTAGTTAGAACTTCGAAATCCGCATAGCGCAAGTGCAAGCAACAAAACCCGAAGTTAATTATAAAACAAAAGTAAAATTGACTGTTGACACAGAGATATGTCTCGTATTTATGTAATTTTGATAGAATAAAGAAAATGTTGAAATCAGAACGGCAATGCTTTGACATTTAAACTATGCAAAACATTCAAAGTCAATGAACCATGACTGAAGGTGCAGAAACAAGATTGAAATAAAATCCATTGAAATGAGAACTA